AGACAAAATCTACAAGGAATAACATTCACTGCTACTGGAGCACGGGAAGTGGGTGACATCTGCATCATTGGATCTAAGATTTCCTTAGGTCCACTAACTTCTCAGTGCCTTTTATGTCCTTTTATGTCTACCCCTTAATAGAAGAAGGGGTAAAGCATTGACAGTCATTTTTTAAATCCAGCATAGCAAGATCACAAGTTATTTAGATTTTTCTACATCTAAAATACATTCACCTTTTAGAAATAATGTAATATAATTAATCTTCTCCTAAGATCTCCTGAACCACATCCCATTAAAACTTTAGGCTCAGGCTCCAGACCAGAATCTGTCCCATCACCTAAACCAGGTCTAGGTATATTGTTACTCAGGTTCAGGGACCTATGAATTATTTTAAAAATGGAAATGTTAACCTTGATTTTTTTCCCTCCGGTTCTTCCTACTGTTATTGGATGGGGGTGGATGGAAAGGGAGAGAAATGCACAGTAAAGTTGCAATACAATACAAATACATTGGGGACTACTTGAGATTAAGTAAGTTTTTGACATGATGCCACATGACTTCACAATATTTTGATGCATAGTTCCAAAATAATAAAAATGCAATGAAATATTAACTTGGATATACATATAAACAGACAACAGACATACATATTTATTTTATTATATATTGAAAACCTTGAATTCACTCCAATTTCAATAAAATTTCAAAGAGTTCATTAGCTTTCTCCTTGTCTATATTGGTCACTCCCTTCTCTAATAAGAATTTGATCTGTCTCCCTGTTTTAAAGAGTTTCCTCATCCCACTTGGGCTCAAACACTCTCATCACCCTACTTCACAGAACCTTTAATACCTTAGCACCCTACTTGCGTTCTGACAGATACTCTCTCCTGCCCAGGAGAGGCCACCCTCACAGCCCTTGTTCCATGTCCTCTCATTTGTTTGGGGTTTTGACACACTGCTTATGCCTAACGGACTACTACCTTGCTTATCCCAACCTAATGGCTTTTGGACTGCATTGCTAATGAGGAGAAAGAATAAGAAGCTAATTTTAAAAATAGTTCATAGGTCCCTGAACCTGAGTAACAATATACCTAGACCTGGTTTAGGTGATGGGACAGATTCTGGTCTGGTGTCTGAGCCTAAAGTTATAATGGTTCAGGGACCAGTGGTTCAGGAGATCTTAGGAGAAGATTAATTATATTACATTATTTCTGAAAGGTGAATGTATTTTAGGTGTAGGAAGATCTAAACAACTTGTGATCTTGCTATGCTGGATTTAAAAAATGACTGTCAATGCTTTACCCCTTCTTGTATTAAGGGGTAGATTCCATATCTACTCCCCTGAATCTGAATCACCCTATAACTTGTTTTAACTAAAATGTGCCCAGAAGTGCTACTTAAGGTGTGGCTCATGGGAGCTATATCTTCTAGCTTGTTCTTGAAATGCTCCTTCTCCAAATACACCCACCAGTTTCTGAGGGAACCCAATCTGTGATGTGATAAGAGGCCTTATGAAGAAATCCAAGTGAAGAACCAAGAACCTAACCCTCAGCCTCCAGAAGCAGTAACTACCAGCCGTATGAGTGATGTCATTTTGGCTCTTACAGCTGTGCCAGGGCTTCAGCTGAAACCATAGGAAGCATAACTGCCTAGTCAACCTATGCAATTATGAGAAAGAAATGGCTAGTTTTAAGACATTAAGTTTTGGGTTGGTAGATGGTGTAGCAATAGGTATCTGAAATAACTGTGACGTAAGCCAGGCACTAATCTATGCCCGTCTGATCTACTAGGATGAAACAAAAAGGTAAACTGATAGGTGCAGATGAGGGTGCCTTGGGAGGATCTTGGAAATGTCACTAACCACTTAAAGGCAGCCTATAGGGAGAAACAGAGAGCTGGATAACTCTGGGCAAATCAACATGTGTGGGCAAACTACCAAATCCAGATTCCAGCTTTTGGTCAGTCAGCATAGCAGCTTCCTTCTCTAGTGTCTCCTCTGATGGAATCAGTTTTATTTTTTCCTCTTTTTAAATTTTCTTGCATCGTACATTACTTTGTAATCGGTTTCTCCCCTCAGATGTTAGTCTTCATAGTTCTCCCACCACCCATCCTTTGTGCTCTTCCCTCCCCTGTTCTCACCTCCTCCTCCCTTGTTGAATGCCACAGATCTATGGTTAGCTTGCTGGTTGTGTCTTTTTCTTCACCCGTTGTTTGGTTTCTCTATATCCGGCTTATAGGTGAGGCCATTGGGTATTTATCTTTTAAATTTTGACTTATTTCATGATAGGATTAGTTTTTCATCTGACAAAACTAAGACTGTAAAGAAATGCCTTCGGTCTGTCAGATCATATGTGGACAGTTGGTCAATGCTGTCTTGAAGGTTTTGACCTGGAACTTTCTGAAGCAAGATATTAACCAATTCTACCTCTGGATGATGGGCTGGTGTGGGTGGTGTTGACATCTCACTGGGTTCTTCATATTCTTAGGAGAGAGAGCATTACTGTATTCCTTTTCTTTAACTTCTGACCCCTAATCACCCTTGAATCCTAACTCCCAGGCATTATTTGGACAAATGGAAGACTTATCTTTAGTTTTTCTTCCTCTCATTTTTCAGGTACAGGACTAATCTGACCCATCCTAACTCAATGGTTAGGCATTTCCCTCTACATGTAGGTTGCTGAGGTTAGCTTCACCCTCATCAATTTCTTGGTGAACAACTCCTTACTTTTGCATTTAAAAATAACTTAGGATGATTTGGTGATGGGAAACCCACGGGGATTACAATCGAGATGGAAAAAAAATGCGCATAATGATGTAAAAATAAACTTTAAAAAAAAATAAGAAGCAAACAAATCCATAAAAAAAAAGGAACATTATATTAAGTAATTCCTGATTAGAAGAATGGCACATTATATATATATATAAAAAATAACTTAGGAAACCGCGGGGATTACAATCGAGATGGAAAAAAAATGTGCAAAATGATGTAAAAATAAACTTTTGTAATAATTAAATAAATAAAAAAAATAACTTAGGGCCCTTCCTGATGGTACAACGGTTTAGGACGCAGCACTGCAAGCGAGCTGCAGCTGCTTCAGTGTGAGTTTGATCCCTGGCCCCGGAGGTGAGCCATCTGGCACAGCAGACCTCTCCTGACCCGCCTGCTGGTCCCCTCAGCAGTGTACTTCGTCAATCTGCCAGTTCTGCCCCCCACTCTGTCTCTGGTGAGTCCCCTCACCACCCCTGCACCTCTGGCTTGTACCCCAGTTCTGCATGCATAAATAAATAAATCTTAAAAAAAAACAAACAAACGTAGTAGTTCTTCTCTTCAACTCTTTCCTCCTCATTAAGATGAACATAAGCATTCACTTACAAGTATTTTAACAAATATTTATTCAGTACCAACTATATCTTAGGCTCAATTTTAGGATGTGAGGATATACTAATGAGAAAGAAAGTTCCTGCACTCTTGAAATGATATTATGAGAGAGACAATCAATAAATATATACTCTTAGTGATGCCTGCTCTGAAAAAAATCAAACAGGTTAAGCAGATTTGTGTAGGAAACTAGTCTACATAGCATAGTCTGAAAAGATCTCTCTCATAAGGTGACATTTGAGAGGTCTGAATTAAATATGGAGAAGAATATTGTAGGCTAAGTGAACAGCAAGTTCAAAAGCCTTGAGGCAGGAAGAAATAAGGCAAATTCAAGGAACAGTAATTAAATGCTAGTGTGGCTGAAGATAAACCATGTTAGAAGTTACAGGAACTGTGGTTGAGTTTGACAGGAAACAGACTGACTTCTAGAGATCTGAATTTTCTTTTGAATAAAATGATGTGATCTGATTCATATTTATAAAGATCTTCATATTGTAAAGACAATATTATGGTGGCCTGGTGCAGGATGACTGCAGAGCATTTAGGGAATAGTGGATTCTGACCACTTGAAAGTAGTGCTGTTAAGTCTTGCCTAGGGATGGGAAGTGACTTCTGAGATAAAGAGAGGCACATTAAAGAGACCTAGAACTCTGAAAAGTGGTATTTTTCCAGAGACTGTGTCTAGGACCTTATGGACTGTAAATAAAGACAGTTGCTCGAGGTTCCCTCCCACCCAAAACACAAATGGTCTGAGGCAGGTTGTGCTAGGAAAGACAGTACTCCGACATCCATACACCCCCATGAAACAGAACTGAGTGGGCCTCCAAAATCCCTTAACTCAGGTTATATAGAGAAGCTGACCCCAGTGGTCTACCCCCCACCCCTCAATGCGTGGGATGAATTATGCCTCTTGCTAGGCCCACACTTTGGTAAAGGGCCTAGTTCTCCCAAGTTGAGTTCCAAACGTTCCAGAGAATCGCACCTAGCTAACAGTGTCGAATCCCATTTCCTGGAACTTTCCCCACCTCTCCTACCCACAGACCTACAGAACTCATTTCCCCTCTCTCTCCCCCCAGTGGAACGCTGCCCAGACCTCAACCCTCAAGCCCCAGACCGGCTTCCACTCTTCTCCGCAGCGGCGCATAGGCCTAGACCCACAGCCACACCTTGAGCACCCTAGAAAGTGACCGTGCCGCTCACCGCAAGCTCGAAGGAGGCTACGATGGGAAGGTTCTGAGGAGGGCGCAGTACACGACTGGGCTTCGGAGCCCGAGCCTGAGCCTGGGCTGGCCCATAGGGACCGCGCTGGGTACTCACCGCCTAGCGTAGTGGCCACCACCCACCTCCACGAAACGGCTCCGCCCCTAAGACTACCCGCGGGAGTCCGCGCCCCCGCGGCTCGGCCCCGCCCC